CTTCTCGCTTATCTCCTCTTTTTTCCTCTTCCTTTTTAAATAAAGGCAACAGTAGTATACCGCTGTTCGAAACTCATAAATCGATAGAGATAAAAACAAAACCGAGTTACAAACTAAAACTGAGGAAAACGCATCAAATATAAGAGGAGAACAACGACACAACAAAAACACAACATTAAAATGTAACACACACAGAAACGAACTATAATATAACAATGGCCATTTTCCTGACTTGGTACAGGACATTTTAAGAAAAAAAATGGTGGGTTGAACCTGGTTTTGTGGCATGCCAAACCTCCCGCTTTTATGACAACGTCAAACACAACACCAAAACGACAACATCACATGACAGGACCACAATACAAATAAATGGGAGAACATATAGGACAAAGAAACACACGAATAATAGCTAGCAGAAGGTACTAGGCTTAAAATTCAATACGCCAGACGATTGTTTTAGTAATATCTTATTAATTAAGGATCAACTTTTAACAATTCAAAAATTTTGTAAGTAAAATAACAAAGAAATTAGGACTTTTCATCGTTCAGGTCATTGCCGATGTTGCTCGGATCGCGTTTTCGCAAGTTTTTTTCCCCCTCATATTTATGTAAAATTGAGAATGGAAATGGGGAATGTGTCAAAGAGACAACAACCCGACCATAGAGCAGATAACAGCCGAAGGCCAACAATGGGTCTTCAATGTAGTGAGAAACTCCCGCACCCGGAGGCGTCCTTCAGCTGGCCCCTAAACAAATATTTATACTAGTTTAGTGATAATGGACGTCATACTAAACTCCAAATTATACACAAGAAACTAAAATTAAAAATGATACAAGACTAACAAAGGCCAGAGGCTCCTGACTTGGGACAGGCGCAAAAATGCGGCGGGGTTAAACATGTTTTTTGAGATCTCAACTCTCCCCCTATACCTCTAGCCAATGTAGAAATCAAAGTGCTGGATAGCACTTCTGGGAAGTTTGCAACTGTAGATGTTTATTATTTCAAATAGGTTATAGATGTATTTAGCTTTGATGTTTTTAACTAAACCATTTTCTTTTTAGCAATTATCAAAAATCACTTTTTTTCATATGTTTGTCATATAAAATTTTGATATTTTCTTTTGCAATCTTAAACTGTTGTTCTAAAATAATCAAACATACAATAAGCTCTGTTAATTTCTTTATATCCCCATGCCATATCTAGGAACTGTGATTTTATAGAATTTTTTTCCATTTGTAACTGGGCATAACCCTAACCATATCAGTAAAGTGACGGCACCAAAATTCAAACTTGATTTTGGTTTTGTGGTTAAAAGTATCGTGTATAAGTTTCGTAACATTTGGTTGAGGCAAACTGAAGTTAGAGCACGGAAAAAATCGTAAGTGGTCTGCGGAACACGGTATATCGCCAACTTTTGCTGTTAATCAACAAAAATGAGGAAAAAAATTAAAAACAATATTCCTCTCTATACTATCTTTTAATTGTAAGAAGCATCTGTCCAAGTTTGGTAAAAATCCAGGATAGTTTATGAATCTAATTCCATTAATAAGTAAAATACGGAAAAACAAGAACAAAAATTTAAACTAAATTTCCTTCCAGATACTAGCCTTTGATCATCAACAAGCTTCTGTCCAAGTTTGGTACAAATCCAGGATAGTTTAAAAAAGTAACTAAAATTTTCAAAATTTTAGCCACAGAGTGAATGTTATCATGGTTATGTTTCCTGGCAGAAAAACTAAGTCCATGGCCATTTATAAGTAAAATACTGATAAAATGGATTTTTTTTTTACAAAATTTACTTCTGGATACTATGTATCATATGATCATAAACAAGCTTCTGTCCAAGTTTGGTAGAAATCCAGGATAGTTTAAGAAAGTTATTAAAATTTCAAAAACTTAAACCAAAGAGTGAATATTTGTGGACGCCGCAGACAAAATGTAGGATCGCTATGTCTCGCTTTTTCGACAAAAGTCGTTGGCTCGACAACAATCACACAATTTTTGAATTTATAAAGGGGCATAACTCTAGAACAGTAAAACTGACACAACCATAACTCAAATTTAATCAGTATTTTGTGATAATGAGCAATGTGTATAAGTTTCATAACATTTGGTTGAGACAAACTAAAGTTAGAGATCGTAAACAAAAATAGTCAAGTAACTTTTCCATTTGTTAAGGAGCATAACTCATAGAATTGTAAAATCGACGCCACCAAAGTTCAACTTGACCTGTGTTTTGTGGAATTCAGTATTGCCTATAAGTTTCATACAATTTGGTTTAGTATTAAGAAATAAAAAAGTTATTAGCATTTTCGTTTGGTCCTGTCATTGGCGAAGTTGGTCAGGTCATTGTCAACGTTAGTCGGGATACGCGGTTTCGCAAGCTTTAAATATTTTTTCCTGTATTTTCTCGTTTATTTATGTATTAGATGATGAAATCTTATTTCGTTTCAAATTTGAGATAAATCCTTCGAGAAATAAAAAAAGTTATTAGCATTTTCATTTGGTCCTGTCATTGTCGATGTTGGTCCTGTCATTGTCGATGTTGGTCCTGTCATTGTCAGCGTTGGTCAGGTCACGTTTTCGCAAGCTTTTTATATATTTTTTTATATTTTTTCTTATTTTTATGTGCTAAATGATGAAATCTTATTATATTTCAAATTTGAGATAAATCCTTTGAGAAATAAAAGAGTTAATAGCATTTTCATGTTGGTCCTGTCATTGTCCTATCAATTGGTCCAGTCATTAGTGTAACCCTGTTGGGAAAAGATTAACAAAAATACCGAACTCCAAGGTAAAAGTCTATAAAAACTGACAAAATCAAACGATCGACTATATTTACCAACGGAAAGAATGGAACATTCGCTTGGAGTATTCATCCCTCTTTTCTATATATTTTTTGTTTGTTTATTTTTTTTTTGGGGGGGGGGGCAATTATTCTGTGATATTTTAACTTAATTTGATAACGTGTTCTTGCTCTTTTCCATATAGTACGGCATTAAAATAACAGCAGTTCACAAATTTTGACCCCCTTTTATTCTAAAAAAAGTTTTCTTATCACCAGACAGTACAAATTTTGAGATATTTATCCTAGCGTCTGACACCTCCTCTCTTTGGTCATTATCTAGACCTCCACTTTAAAGCGTTGATTCCGCAGTCGGAATTGTCCGACTGAGGACATTATCAATATATGTGAAAAACATACTGGAGGACATTATCAATATATGTGAAAAACATACAAGAGGACTTTATCAATATATGTGAAAAACATACAGGAGGACTTTATCAAAATATGTGAAAAACATTTGGTTTTATATCCGTATGTCCTGAATCCGTTTTGAATTGCGTATTTTCTGAATGAGATAAGATACTCATACATATTTAAAGGTACAATGCATATGACCTACATTCTATCATTATATGACCTAGATTCTATCAATATTGCAGATGTACGAAAAAGAGGGGGAAATTAAAGAAAAAAGTAAGACTAAGAAAAACAGAATCATGGTCAAAATACGACGAAAATTGAAAGTAGTCCACAAAATATTACTAAAACACATAATATTAAGCAACACGAACGCCACAATACCATGGGTGAGCCCGAGTCAGTTCAGGTGCTCTGGAAGGGTAAACAGTTCTTGTTCAACTAGTGGCTGGCTTGGTGTTGTTCTTTGCAAGTAAATTAGAATGTAAGTAACCCCTTAACTATGATAGAATTTGACAATTTCTTCTATGACATGAATAAAATCATATCAATACCATCGTTTAAGTTAATACCAAATCATGTTTTCCCAACCTTTCTCTTTGATATATATTGCATTACGGAACCGTTCTTGTATTAAGTCCTTCGTGTATCAAGTCGTAAAGCTCCATTGAAGCTAAACCTTTACTTTGAAAATTTCTATTAGTATTAAACCAACAAATATATCTAACTTATTCAAACATATTAGATGTTAACAACAAAATGTTTTCGTGTCTTTTTACCCTTCAAATACTGGACCTGGTTAAGTATCATTGCACAAAATCATAGAACCACGCTACAATGACCATTTATATTTATGGTTCTAATTCGCCTTCATTTAGAAGAGCGATTTACTGTTTCCGCTGTCAATAGCGGAATAAAATCAATCAGATATTTTGAATAATTCCTGTAATAGATTATTTCTCTGATGTATTTATTGTTGTACGTGTTTATTTGTTTTGTGTGGCGAAATGGCAAGATTTATGTCCCTTTAATAACAAGACTGGAATAACGTTGATTAACAGACAACAGACTTAAATCATTCCAATAGAATCAATTATAGCTCACGGTTCATTGTTAAAGGCTGTGCTTGTTAAAGGTTGCACAGTGTCAAATCAGATCAGTTAAATAGAAACATATCTCGTATCTTAGCTAGAAAAAAAGAATATTTGAACATGTTGAAAACACGGGGGGGGGGGTCTCAACATGGGATTTTGGGTACAGTTGTGCAGCTGAGATTTATAAAACACCCCCATTTATAAAACACCCCCATTCATATATTGAATAATTGTGAAATCCCTACCTATACACATATTTCACAGCGAAAAGTTGGATATGTGACCTATTTTTTACTATACTCTAGTGGGTAAAGATTATTAATTGTGACAGTGTAATAAAATTTGATCAATAACAAAACTTGTGTCAATAAGTTTAAGCAGATGTGGAAATTTTAATGACAAAGAGTTTGGGAAATTCAGTGAAGATCGTTGCACCACAAATTGAAAAATTATGACCCATTGATATATCACAATTGGTCAATTCCCAGTGGGCACTCGACGTTGAAACAACGTTGAAATATGGTTGAAATTTGGTCATGACGTTGATCGACCTAAATTCAACGTTGATCTAACGTCATGGTATTCAACGTTGACTTTACAAAGTTGTTTCAACGTTGAATTTACGTCGTTAAAATCAACGTTTAAACAACAACGTTGATTCAACGTTAGGTTAACGTCAGTCAATCGCGACAGAAAAATCTCATCGTCAAAATTGAAAGGTATAGATATATTTGATGAGCAGATCGGACAAGAAGCAGTGCTGCAGTATTATAAACGATTGGATAATAAGTGGCTAATCCAGAACTTTTTATAATACTTATAAGGGGGTCCACTGACTGCCATAAGCGTGAGGGGGCTTCCTCCTGTCATGCTTCTATGATCCCTTTATAATCAATCATTTTTTTTTCCACGAAAAAGGGGGTAGACCGGATTGCATTGTTTATGCATGGAAAGGAGTTTTGGGCAAGAACAAGTGGTCAGGAGACATCACCAATAACAAATCGGCTTTTTCAAATTAATTTTTTTTTGTGTTTATTTTTTAAGTATCTTTAAAAAAAAACCAATTCTTACCAATCATTAAGTAATTTGGGTTTGATGATTCTCTATATTTTGGGAGATCTCAAAACCTGTTCATGCTATCTTAATTATATGTATATCTGTATAAATATGATATATTCTTAGTTTATATTTTAAAATCAAATCGATTTGTTTAGTTGCTTTCTTTCATTTAAATAAATAGGAGAAATTTTTTGGTATATTTATTTTAATTATTTTTACCGATTGATATTTAATATATAAACTTAAAATATCATCGATGTATAAAGTAATCATAATAATTGAGAAGTTTTTAAATTTTCGCGGTTTTTCAAGTTGAGTTCCGAATATTTTCATTCGGATGCGCACGCAAGCACGCGCACCTCTTTTCAACATCCGTTTAGAACATTTTGAAAATCATCCTCGAGAAATTATCGCACCAGACTGATGAACAAAATTAATAGTGAACAACTGCGTCTAAGGAATATAAAGACGAGAGAAGACTTTTCTGTATAAACCTCTTGATATTAGCGTAAGTATATTTTACAGTTAAATTAACGAAGAATCATGATATATACAAACACATTCAAATGATCAAATTAGTTATCTGCATGTTTACGTTCACAGATGATAAGGTCTTATCTTACTGAATCTGATTCAGTTTCGTGTCAAAACAGTTAAATGATTTGATTGTATATAACCTCTAATTAGCGAACTGAAATAAAACATATCTATCCATGTACAGAATCAGTAATATCAGAAAGGGGGGGGGGGGGGTGCCATCGAATACTAGCCAATTCGTTCAAATACAACTCGATAGGCTGTGTCTGATACACATAGAAATGGTCTGCTCTTAAACACTGTTTAGATTTTTTCGTAAAATATCACTCATCTTTCATTATTTCATCTATATATGAACATTATGCTTATTGCAAAACACAGATCTGGTTAGAATTCATGCTTTGTCTTGTTATTGATGCAAGCTGGAACAATTGTTTCAAATGAACATGTTGTGTTTTATGATTTAAAATAATTGTTTTATAATTGGTAGAATTTGATAACATTTCCGGCTTTTAAAAGTACACAACTTTTATTATGTAATTCAAATTGATGTTATTTCTCTTCCATGCTTTCAGATGCTGTTTTATTCTGCCACAAAGAGACACCAGAATCCAAAATACCTGAGCAGTGTGCAAGACATGTAAAGTGTGCCCCACAGAGAGCAGAAGGAGTTGCTAGGCCAAAAGAATAAATCTTAAAAACAAAATAAATTTTTCATTTTAAAAACCTCTTTTTTGTTAATCTCTATAGTTAATTTAGTGCCAGTAAAAAAAGGGCAGTGAAATTTAGAAATACATTATTTGGTGTTACCGGTATGCAACTTTTTGTTCTGTTTACTCAATTGTATCGGGTGTATAGATACTGATTGAATGAGTAAACAGCTTGGTGATGGTATGGTTTGTTCCGAATGCCTTCAAGATAAATGTAAAAAAACACATACGGTATACCCTCAAAAAGTCAAATTACAGTTCAACAAGATATCAATAAAAATTTTTAAAAAAAAGAAAAAAAGAAAAAGAACTAAATATCGGATAACAAAAACTTAAAATGAAATCAGAATTTTTTTAAATGGTCCTGCTATGTATTCACATAAAACAAAGGAGGCATTTTGTGTAACTGTGTCAAATTTGCTGCATTTACATGATTTTGTATAAGTTGGAAAACTTGATCAACCAGAATCAAACCAGTGTGCTGTAGTGAGTTTTTACATATGTTCCTATGCTTTGAGAAATTGATGTGCTAGAAGAGAAAGCTTTGTTAATATTGAGATATTTGGTTTCAAATAAAATCTTGATATTGTAATCGTCATTCCTCTTTGGTTTTGATTGTTATTGTCTACTATTCTCTTTTGAAGTTGTCTCTTGTTGATAAAAGAACTGTTCATGGATATTCTAACTTGAAATAAAACTTGAAAGAGGCTTTTTTATTTCATAATTCAGGTATCTTGTTATTGTATTTGAACAAGTGCCAATAAGGATCAATTTACATCCAAGAACCATCACTTCAACTAACCTACAATTGACCTGACTTCAACCTAACTCGACCTGATTTCAACCTAAACCCGACCTGATTTCAACCTAACTAAGACCTGATTTCAACCTCACTGGACCCAATTTCAACATGTTATCAACGTCAATACAACGTTGAAACTGCAACGTTGATTCAACGTCAGAATTTCAACGTCATTACAACTTTCAAAACTAACCCAAGTTTCAACGTTGTAACAACGTTGAAGACTGACATTGGATCAACGTTGATACAACGTTTTGTGCCTGCTGGGTTACTACCTATTGATATATTTCCTCGGTAAAATTGCACCCCATTGATATATTTGACGTTTCAAAAAAGGGACCCATTCCAGCGGCACATATGTATATACCTTCATATAGGAAGAGACCCCCCGTGGTTGAAAATACCAGGTAGGCAGTTAAAATTAATACACCCACACACATATGCTAGATCATCTAGGAGTTTTAAGGGGAAAAATACTATATTTTTTATCAAGAATAAAAAGCGAGTTGAAGATACCTTCCAAGGGTGTAAACACTTTTCCCACATCTCTTCCAAATTATATTGTTTTTATGGTGTCTATCACTCATTCAAGCATTCTCATACTGTTAATATTAAATATTATGAGAATGCCTGAATGGGTGAAAGACACCATAAAAACAATATAATTTGGAAGAGATGTGGGAAAAGTGTTTGCCTTGGATAAAAAAAGTAAATTAAAAGTGCACAATACAATTCAGATAAATTTATTGGTCTCCAGATCATATTACTGGAATATATGTGGAACCAATATACCCCAACATTTTTTAGATATAAACAAGTCTATGTTTTGCTTTTTGAAAACCTGTTAAAATCATTTGTAGAAAAGGTCCGGGGACACAGTTATCGGCCTTTGATTTTCGAATAGAGCCCCTATTGTGGACAGAGTATAACCTGCATATATTTTGCATACACCTTCCAAATTTATTTCTTTATATTTTATGCAGGGGGATGAAATTACATGTAAAACAATTGGGGCATGAATTGTTAGTTAAAGTAGGGATTTGGTCCAGTTTCAAAAGGTAAAACATTAGCATGTCTGAATCTCTCAAACTGAATTATAGACCCCCTTAACATAAACTTGTCCAAATTTTGATTTAGAGCCGATAGACTTTTTTATAATTTTGATAAAATTTGTCCCAAAAGTAGTACATCTTTTTCGGATAAAGCAGGTGCCTTTTTGAAAAAAAAGTATTGTTGGAAGTACATGCGCGCTTTGACATTTAAAAAAAAAACAGACGGTCGGAATTCAACTGATATCTACTCGTTTATGTAAGAGGAGTCGATACCCTTGAAAACGTTACGATTAATTTTGTTATCAAGATAATACAGTCTATCTGACGGATTTCATGTAGCCTGAATAAAAACATTGAAAGTAAATTATCCGATTGAAGATCAGCATAAGTACATGTAAATTGAATATAGAAAGAGTAACCGTCAAATCAATTGAAAACTATTCTAAACTTGCACAATAGAATGATTGGGAAACAATGTATAACAATAACGTTTTGATAATACTACACATTTTTGACTTTGCAGTTTTTCTCCGCCATGTACGATGCCTCAAATGGGTGAACCTTGGGAGCATTTTTTTTTTGTCTTTTTCTTTTTTAGCCATGGCGTTGTCAGTTTATTTTCGACTTATTAGTTTGAATGTCCCTTAGGTATCTTTCGCCCCTCTTCGTCTAGTATTAGGACAACAAAAGTGTATTGATTTGGCATAATAACGATAAAAGGATTGTACTAAGAAACGGGGAAAATGCGAGGCTCTAATTATTCTCTATATAATTAAATTTGCAATTTAAAAAAAATTGCATGTTTGTCTCGGATTAACAGGACAATACAGATATTGTTGATTAGAATGTTGATTGAACGATAACTATATTCCCCAATTACTTTGACATAGTTGGACAACTTCGTACTTTATTCGGTCTTTTAATTTTGATTGAAGCGTCACTGATCAGTCTTTTTTAGACGAAAAGATTCCTTTTTTTTATCTTGGTATCTATGATGATTTGTTGGACACCTATTGTAAAAGGTATGGCATATTCTCTTTTATTCAGTTTGTGAGTCAGTCGCCCCTGTAAAAACCTCAAAAACCGCGAAACAAAATTTCTTATTTAATAGAAAAACAAAGGATATGGGGTATCCATCCATGACACAAAATCAGTAAATGCACAACAAAAAAACATACAAAATGCAAAGGAACAGCGTTTTTTGGCTGTTCTTCATCTCAAAGTCAGTAAGTTCTCAACCCAAACCATTTTTTCTTTTTAAAATTCAACGTTTTTGTAACCTCAACACTCGCAGTGAAATCGACTTTGTTAACAGTACAGCTAACTATACGGAAACTGATATGAGTATTTTTAATTATTGATCCCCGGACGGCGACTTGTAGCTGTTTTCATCCCTACAATTTAGTCTCTAGTGGAAAGTTGTCTCATTGCCACCCATCTTTTTTTATATTAAATAAGAAAACCCGTCATGAAAGAATACTTTGCCAAAGTCACAGTCATAGGTGTCATAAATGGCAACTATAGAATTATACATAAAAAGTTACCAAATTGATTTAATTTTCGTTACTTTATTAGTACCGAGGTGGATTTCGTCCCTCGTGCCGACCCATTATGATAGACATGCTTATTCTTTTCTTTCACCATAAATCTAGCACGTTTAGATAAACAGGGACTATTTGGTAATTCCTTGTAGTCAGTGAATATATTTCAAAATATCAGAGGTAAAACTTCAGTGTACAACAGCCCTTTCCAAGGTTAGGGTAGGGTAAGGCGCCCGTAAACATATTGAACATCGACATATTCTGTAATTGCTTTAATTCAGTGGTTGTCGTTTGTTGCTGTATGTTCTATTTATTTTTTCTTTGTTATTTTCTACATAAACTAGTCCGTTGGTTTTTCTCATTTGAATTGTATTACATTTTGTGATATTGGGGCCTTTTATAGCTTGATATGCGGTATGGTTTTTGCTCATTGTTGAAGGCCTATAGTTGCACATTTCTACTTCATTTTTGTCTCCAAAGGATAGTTGTCTCATTGCTAATCATACTATATCTCCATATTATATATTTGTAGATAGAAATGACAAAAATCAACATGAGCTACTAGTATAATGTAAATAAATATCTTTTAAAATCATAAGATCTTTCTTTTATTATATATCTTCTGTTCAGTATTTCTAAACCTTGCACACTATAAACTTGTGGGTGTGATCGTAGAAGTAAGACCACATTCGTCGTAGACTATTTCGTATGTACGGCATTGAACATGTTTTTACATTAACGTTGAATTTCCGGTCCATGTCGTTGTATCCTGGGACGTACCAACCACTCCAGTAACCATTAAACCATTGAATTTTGTATGCAGCAATCTTCCCCCCAGCTGCAACTTGATCCACTTGCATGTTCAGTCCCGCAGGCCATCTACAGTCCCTTGTTGGTCCTCGCGTGATCTCAGTACATTTCGCCTGAAACAAAATAAGTTTTTACAGATTTATAAAAGAAACGTTCGAAGATTACAAATAAAGCAAGTCTTCACAATAAAAATATAGAATTTCAAATACTAGTACACCTCAGGTAAAAAAATGCTTGAATAATCATTATTCGTAGTATATTACTTTCGTAAGATTTGCATGGCGGGTGACTCATGCATAGCAGGAGACGCTTACTCTGTCGTCGACGCACCTGGTTATGTGATTCCCACAGTTTCTGTTGATTACCTTGATTTTTCATTTCTTGATCGATTAACGAGATTTGGATATCGATGAAATACTGTCGCCTTAATGTTTACAGTTCAACGTCCATTTTATTCAAATATTTTATACAAGATGTCAAATTTTTTCCATAGTTTCATAATCGATTGAAAAGTGCGTCTGTTATGAACATTTAGTTATCTCTAATTTAAGAAGCAAAAAAACTTTTATAAAAATATAATTTGAAAAATTAAGAAATGAAGGTTCCAACTCAGTTAGGCAATGTTTACCATACATGAATTTGGTTACCCTATGAAGGTATATTTTGGTCATAATCATAGTCTACTGACATTTCTAAGTAATAACTCTGGTTTTCAAATTTTTAGGTAAATCCAAAAAAGTGCATCGGATTCACGTAATTTATGAAATGATTATTTCATATACACTGTAAAAGGATATTGATAAAACAAACC